GGAGATTGATATACCAGGCAAATGCTGATCCGGTCAATGAGAAATTGAACACCCGTAACTTATGGAAATCACTATTAACATCCCCGCATTGCGGTGAAACGAGCCACATGCTCCAACAAAGACAGGGATGATTCACCGGTAAAAAGGCTGAAATCTGGGATCTTGAAACCCTTCGGGTATCCGAATGTTTCCACGTAAGCTGGGTACGGATGAATAAACTTAGGAAACTTCGGCCCTTTCTTCATGGCCGAGTCGATCATCCGCTGAACTTCGATCATATCCACAGGTGTTGCTTCGACCCTCTGGTCGGTTCCGTCTGACCTACTATTCGACCCTCCTCCTTTTTCCAAGTCAATTGGTTTGAGCCGAGCAGGAATAGGCTCGGTCGGTACAATTGGTAACGGATTGTTTCCTGGTGGTAAGTGCTGAAGAAGATCGAAAGGCCTGCTGTCACTGACTTTACTAACCAGCATTTCGAGCAATATGGTTTGTCGCTCATTGGAACTGAGTATCACGTCATGCAGCTTGTCAATGCCTTGGCTAAACGTCTGCTCGACTGACCGAGACTGCTCGTCCAGTCGCTTTCGAAGAAACGACCTTGTTGGTGGGTCAGATCCTTCACCACCATCCTCGTCACACTCCTCTACTATCCTTTCATTGAGAACGCAGGTGTTTCTGTTAGGGATTTCTAGACCGCGGAGCTGACCGCTGAGATTAACTTCTCTATCTTGGCGATTTGCGCTTGTGAACTCAGGTGTCACGGCACTAAGGGGATTCTGCGCCTGTGGTACACTTTGTCCTATGCTCTGATTTGGCAAATCGGCTGTCAACTTTTCCATAGCTGTTTTCTTTTTTACCGATCGTGTTTCAATTGGCATGAACTTCGTAGTTTAGCACTGGGTCCCACTGGGCGTGCCAAAATGTTGACCCTAGAAACTACCAAGCCTACATGGCGCGCAGGCCGAGTAATCTATAAGCTAACTACGTCCTTCGGTGAATGCGGGGCGTGCCAACTCGTCGGCCGAGCTTGGCCGAGGAGTACATTTTGTTGCTGTTGCGTTGGGTGCACGGCTGACTTCTGCATCTTGCGATTGCGGCCGAGAAAGGAACACGTCTCGGCCTCTTGGGCTCTCGAACCTGAAGACAAGGTTACTATTCTTACGAAGTTCAATATCAAATTCGGCTTTCAATGTGCCGAATGTAATAACTGTAACACCTCACTTTGCAGAGAAGGCTGATGAGATGACCTCGACCAATAAGGATTTAGAAACCCTTCTCGACCGAGACTTGGATAGGTAATCAACCGTTCTCGCCGCAGTGCTGTTGATGCCAACGGAAGATACTGCGAGAGCGACTAATTCTACGGTGACAGAGCTATCTATGCCGATTTAAGATATCACCGGTTGCTTCCACAATGCTGTTGATGCCAACGGAAGATGTGTCAGCAAAAAAGAAAAAGGAAAAAGATCTCAAGTTGTTGAGAGTTTGCGCAGGGCAATTTTGTATTGATTTGCAGAGGGCCTATCTGACGCACAACTTCCCCTATTTATAGCATTGGATCTTGAATCCGAGTTAAAATCCTACTCGGACTAGGTCTTCCTCTCCGGATCAACACCACCTCGACCAGTCCTATCTTCACTAGGATTGTGACCCTAGTCCTTAACTGAGCCAGATTCGCTTTCTGGGTTACTGATCCCGCCGAGACTCCCTATTGTAATAGGACTCGACTTGCGTTATGATCTAACCGACCTAGGCTTGGAAGCCCACGAGCTGAACGATCCATGGCCCTCTCGCCGCACGGCCTCCCGGGCCGAGAATGATCCTACCCTCGGTCCAAACTATTATTTTGGGCCCAAACAACTCCTCACAAGTGTATTTTTCTTTCCAAATCTAAAAAGTTTGGAGTATATAATGAGATTTTTGGACTGCGAATAACAATTTCCTTTCGAAATAGGTACACTAACAGTGGTACACATTTTGAGTGTATCAAGCGGGTTTGTATATCATATTTAGCATGGGTACAATTGTTGTCATATGTTGCGTAAGCAAGCATTAACAATTCAAATTCAAAAGCCTTTGAGATAATACTTCCAGATTTCAAGGATAACAACAAAATAAAAAGGATAATGACAATTGTTAATGGAATTGAAATGCTAATTCAGAAGGAAAAGATCTGATGGAAAATGACTAAATTCTCAACGCTTGAAATAATGGCAGTGCTTATAAATTTTAGAAAAATGAAATCATTTTTTGTAATCTACTTGGCTCCTCATAGGGGAAGCAGTTCAATTTAAAACGCAAAACCTATAGATGTTTAATCAAACAAGTTGGGGGGGGGGGGGGGGGGGGAGGGTGAGGCACTGATATCAAAAGCTTCCAATTGAAAATTTAGGAGGGAATGAGAACATATGATTTTTGTCATATATTATTGGTGGTGTGTAAAAGAAATAATGTAGCTCACCATGGTGCAGGTTACTGTTAAATAACTACTTAATTCGCTTAGTCCCTAACAACTGATAATAATAGCGAAAAACACTTTTAAAAAAAATCAAATTATAGAAAAAAATTTCTCGACTAATGTCAATAATAGTCGAGTGCAGCAATATATAGGTCCTAGGTTTTTCTCTTGAAAACAAGGCTATTAAAGGAGCCTATTTATGAAAACTCCGGCCTCATTTTGTGTATAGGGTTCACTCAGATTGGATAACTCGCTAGAATGTTGAATGAAGAAGTGGATACGCCCTTGCATAGTTTGTCCAAGTAAAGGTAGAAGATGAATTAGTTGTGACGAAAACTTATCCCTCCAAATTCCCTTAAAATGATAGGATGAAATAGACAAGTTATTTTCATGACTAGTTCATCTTTTACCGGACAAAACATTCACTTCTTCATCCATCATTCATTAAATCCAGTGAACTATTCAATCCAAGCGAATCCTACCCATCAAACAAGGCACATTGTCCTATAATTCGTTTTATATTCCCCCTTCTCATCATGTGTGTTGCCAGGTATAAGTGTTTCATTTGGCTTTTGGAGTCAACATTGTACCATGACTTTTAAAACATACTATGTAGAATTAGTCAAACACTGGATGGATCATGGAAATGTTAGGTTCCAAACTTAATCATGTTTTGTACGAACATGAATCTGGTGCCTCGCCACTAAGATTTCTGCAGTGCGACCCCTCCCATACGGCAACCTATCTTGGCTTCTTTCCAAGTTCCTACCCGTCAAACATTAATTCATGACTTGAATTTTCTCACAGATATTTTTTTTCTTTCTCAGCCAGCAGAAGTTTCAAAGATATCCTTTTCCTATCACGCTATCACCCCTCTGTGTTCACAACTTTTACCACTTTCTAGGTCAAGTAATTAGTCAATCTCTAATGGAGTGTTCCCCCTTCAATAAGTTAGATAAATGGTTTATGGTTGGTCCAACTACTCGAGCACCTATGACATACGAGCATTGTCTGAACTCATTTATTCAGACAAACGTTCGTATGTCGGACCTACTCGGGGATTATACAGGCTTAGCTGCCCTCGTAGTTCAGTGTTACTATCGCCTTGATGTGAAAATTACTTGACACATAAATTAAACCCTATTGATGACAATTGTAGCAAAGATGTAAGTATGGCTCATGTCTTTCTTTAAAAATAAAACGTATTTCATTTTACGTGTGCAGATTTTCCTCAAGTTATCGAGGACTTAACTCAACCACCATTGTCACAAGCTCAATAAATTATGAAGAATCATTCAATGAATTCTCTACATAATTGTCTAGTCAGGTTGATGAAAATAGGTATTGCCTAAATGGTCTTAGCAGCGAATTCTTATTTCAAGAAGATAGTAGTGCTTTGTATCATGGTAAGCCTCAATATTATTATGATGTACCCATACAAACTAAAGAGTGTGAATATGATGGTGAGCAAAAATATGATACGGACAATTACCTTTATGAGGAAAGTGATAATGATGATGACATTGGTGATTCTGATACAGACAATTTCTTATATGATGAGGATAATGATGCAATGCTTGAAGATGACAATTTCAGTGACAATGTAGATACATAGAGTTTCATTGGATGCAGTAGGAAACAAAAAACAAAATAATAAAAAAACAATTGGGAAGATATACAGGTTGAGAATTTGAACATGCATGAGAAGCAATATAACTCAGATGAGTTACATTCGCCACTAAATCTGATGAAGAAGGACATGATCGTAGATGCAAAGAGTTTAATGTTAACTGATATGGAAAACCCACAATTTGATATTGGGATGAAATTTCTAAGTAAAAAGGTGTTAAAGCAGGCTAGACATAAATATGAAGTCGTAAGGTCATATAAGTGTAAGGTAAGGAAGAATGATAGGATTAGGTTGTCTGCTAAATGCAAGCAAGGTTGCAGCTGGAAGTTGTTTGCTTCTGTGATGCAGGGTGAAAGTACTTTTCAAAACAAGAGCTACATTCCTGGTCATTCATGTTCAAAAGGTTTCTCTAGTAAAAACATAACTTTAACTTTTCTTTCTGAAAGATACATGGGTAGGATTAAAGATGATCCTAAGATTAAGAAGGCAAACGCTTCAGTTAGAGATATTCAGAGACTTGGGATATGAAGTCTCAACAAATCAAAGTTACAAAGCTAAGAGGAAGGCTCTAACTTTGATTGAGGGGGCTTATGCTCAACAATATGAAAGCTATGGGAGTATAGTGAAGAGGTTAGAAAGACAAATATAGGCAGCACTATGATGATGAAGGTGGATCCTCCTTATTTCCAAAGACATAATGTGTGCTTGGATGCATGCAAATAGGGGTTTGTACATGGTTGCAGACCTTTGATAGGTGTTGATGGTTGCTACCATAAGGGAACATTCCACGGTAAAGAATTAATTTGTAGTTTTATTTGACATCAACTCATGCAGAAGTGGTATTAATTTAATATAACGTCCATATATGATATGTCTATGCGTGCATATTAATTCAATACCTTGGCAAGGCAGTTACTTGTGGTAGTGGGAATTGATGCAAATGAAAATATGTATAGGTTCAGTTCGATGATCAAGTGTGATATGTTGCTGAACAGCTTGTGTGAAATGGCGGTCAAATTGCTGCAGTAAAAGCAGCGGAGAAATGCCTGCTCATTTACGATAAATATTTCTTAAACCAGACACCAATGTTAAGAAAGCTCTCAAAGTCGGATTGTGGCCTGCAAACACGAATTTTGAAATCTCAGATTGCATTCCAAGCATGAAATTTTATGACTTTGGTTGTACCAAGTGACTAGTGACTACAATGCACAAGCACATCTGGATCACTCCTTACCTGTCAATTGCATGATTATCGTGAGGAAACACAATGACTTTGACAGGAACTCCTTTTTCCTTCAGAGCGCGAGAATACTGTGTAAAGAACAATAAACATATCCAAATCATTTTCTACTCACGCCATTGCAATTACGCAACCATTAAAGTAGAATTGAAGTGCTCAATGTGTAGTTCATGAGGACACGAACGTGTTATCTTACTTGCAACCAATAGAAATCGGAAGACGAATATCCTGAGCACCCAAAAGAAAGAGGGTGGGTGTTTTGACCTGCAGAGAACATACGAGCTTGACGATAGTCCAGAATAGGCTCACTAAAATAACAGAAAACAAGCCTAAACAAAAGTTACAAAACACAAACCTTTGAGACATGTGAAATAGGAGACATTCTGTGAAAGAGAGTCAGATGCTCAGCTGACGGCGCTTCTGTGAAGCTGTTTTTACCCTCACTCCCGTAGGCCTCAACATAGCACCAATCGGGAATGTCTGTTGTACCCACCATTAGCGCGAGGTTGCAAGCAGGATTCCTTGTTGCTGCCACAACAAACTTCTCTGGTTCCTGCAGCATTTCAATTACAAGATTATCGGATTCATAAGTACACCTAAAATCGTGTATGTTCATGTATGCATAAATGGGAAAATTATCGTCCTTTTTGCAAACTTAACACACCTGGCCAATCAAGTGGGTTGTGAGAAAGCCACCGTGAGAACCACCAAGAACTGCAACTTTTGACGGACTGGCAAGCCCCACGTCAATGACATGGTCTACAGCCGCCAGTACATCCTTCAAGTCCTGTAGAGAAGATACTAATGGATCAGGGTCTCCGAATACAAATCCACACATTTAAAGTAAATACCATCTAAAGTAAATGCTTAACAAACATTGTGCATATACAGACACATAATATGTATATAATAATATTACCTGGGACCCAATTTTTCCGGGAAGAGACTGAAGTGCTTCTTCACCAAACCCCAGTGAACCTCTGAGATAAACTCGCATGTCAGATCAATGGAAGCCAAAAGCTGATTATATGAAGCTAATATTGAAAAGAGGCAATTTTTGAAGCAGGGGATGATAAAATGTAATTTAGCCGAAAAAATCAGAATGAAAGGAAAACGGAGAAACACAACTTTCCTGTAATTTACAATTAACAAGCTGAAACCAATCGAAGAGAGAAATGCTAAGGACTTTGAAAAGCTTGACAATGAAACAATATGTGGGCCTCCATGAAAGAATACAATTAACGGGTTAAGTGCATCATTTCTTTTAGTTTTGGAAGACACAAATATAGCTTCAATAGGATTGGTGGCACCTGAAAGGTTTTAATCATATACAGGATGTCAAAATCAATGATTTTCCAAGACATAAGAAAGAAAACTGACTTGTGATACCTTTTGTTGGGCTATCAGAAACATCCCTGATCGGAATCTTCATTATACTGAACCGAAGAGATGAGAGCAAAGATTTAACCTGTAGCAAGGCGAAACTTGAGTAAAACAAAAGTAAGTTTTTAAGATAATCACAGTAATAACACAGTACTACAGACCTTCTTAGGACATTCATCTGTGGGGCTTGCTACGTTTAACCGACTCCATGCAGCATTTTTACTTTCTTTATCAATAAGATAACCGTACTTGATATGGGGTACATCTACTGGACTGCTAGACACTTCCGAAATCAAACAAGAAGTGAATTTTATTATTGTAATTCAGTAAATTTGTCCAACAAGTTATCAGTAAAAAAAAGGGAGTTTATATTACCGGCAATGATATTGTCTCCGTCCAGTGTAAGAACGCTCCATGAAAAACTAGAATTAGGACTGATTCGTAATACTTCCCCGCTGTAATTTCATATAATTGTATCATGATTTAATTATAATAACAAGGTAACAAGAGCACGTCATATGATGAAACCCTATAGTTACCTCAACACATTCACAGAAAGTATCACTTGACAGCTACACCAGATGGAAGATATGATCAGAACTATCAGAACTATCCCCATTCTGATGTCCATTCTGATGTCCATCAAACTTGTGTTTATCAAGGTATCAATTTCAGATGAAAAAGACGTTTATACTCACTTAACGACTGTTTAACAAATTACCCTATATTCACTAACAAATATAAAAACATGGGCTAAATTGAAAACACAGTACCAAATATAGCATTAAAGCCAAAACAATATTAATAGTAATACGTAATAGTTCAGTTGAAGTTGCATTATTGATTTCAATAATCATAAATTTTCAAGTACAATAATTTTTCATCCAGATTACATATGCTGAGCAAACGCAAGCCGGATTCAATAGTTTTTCATCCAGATTCAAGGTGGATTCAACCTACTTGACTGTAAATTGTAGATTGATTTACGAAAGCTCTCGAAGTCGAACTATGGGGGTAAAAGCAGGGAAGAAATGCCTGCTCATTTACGGTAAATACTTCTTGAACCAGACACCAATGTTAAGAAAGCTCTCAAAGTCCGATTGTGGCCTGCAAACACACAAATTCGTATAAGATGAAAATCCGAGCATGAAACTTTATGATCTCGCTTGTAGTGACTGGTGACTACAATGCACAAAGCACATTTGGATCATAAGTTTACCTCTCAATTCCATGAGTATCCTGTGGAAACACAATGACTTTGACAGGAACTCCTTTTTCCTTAAGCGCCCGAGCATACTATGAATAATAAACATCCAAATCACTTTTCTACTCACATAATTCCAATTATGCAAACGTCTATGAATCAAAATCATCACACCCCCTTGGGAGGAAGGAAAACAATTTAAAAGATGAAAACTATAAGAATAATTATCCAAGCACTTGTTTCATTGTTAAACTATTAAGGAGAAAAGGTGTATTTCATTAGGAGAACATGTTAACTTACTTGAAATCCAGTAGAAACTGGAACACGAAGATCCTGAGCACCCAAAAGAAAAAGGATGGGTGTTTTGACCTGCAGATAGATCCTTCAAAAAGTTACAAATAGCAAACTTCTTACTATATAAAATCTTTTTAAATTATTGAATTTCTTCGCAAAAAGGAAATTTATAGTATAAGCTTCAAAATCAAGAGTACGTAAATAATATAGTAACAGAGAAAAAGCTTAAACAAGCACCTTTGAGACGTGTGAAATAGGAGATTTGCTGTGCAAGAGAGTCAGATGCTCAGCAGAAGGTGCTTCTGTGTAGTTATTTCTACCCTCACTTCCATAGGCCTCCACATAGCACCAATCTGGGATGTCTGTCGTACCGATCATTAATGCGAGATTACAGACGGGGTTCCTCGTTGCTGCCACAACAAACTTATCTGGTGCCTGCAGCATAAATATGTTCAACTCTCGAGTATAACTAAAAAATGATCGTCTACCAAGTGTGCATAAGTAATAGATGCTTCAAAAAATAAAAAAAAGCAGTACCCCACAAAAAAAAAAAAAAAAAAAAAAAAGCTTAAAGCAAGAAGCCTCAAAGCAACTAAAAAATAACAGTCATGCTTTTTACAAAACTACCAGACCTGGCCAATCAAGTGAGTTGTCAGAAAGCCGCCATGAGAACCACCAAGAACTGCAATTTTTGATGCACTGGCAAGCCCCTTGTCAATGACGTGATCGATAGCCACCAGCACATCATCCACGTCCTGTAGTGAATAAACTCAGATATTAGGGTCTACAAATACAAAAGCAGATACATAAAGTAAATACTAGTTACACAAGTATATTAACAACGTAAATTCTTAGCATACATAACCATATACAGATATATTTATGCCAGAGAGTGTGTATGTCTATCTGTATGATACCAAAGTAGTATAAAATGGCCCAACTTGGGGCTCTACATAAATAAACAGGTGCTATAGAATACGCTCCCCTAAGGAACAATGCCATCTCGGATAACAAAAATAACATTGCTGTAAAACAGATTAAAGGTAAATATATATAGGTACGCACCTGGGACCCTATTTTCCCTAGAAGGGACTGAAGTGCTTCTTCACCAAAACCCAGCGAACCTCTGAGATAAACTAACATGTCAGAACAATGCAAGATAAAAGCCGATGAAGTTAAAAGAAATGGTTATTTCTTTTCATATCCATAGGCCAATTTCATAATATCTGAACAAGATTGGAGCACAATTTTGTTGACCCTGATAAGAAAAGTCAGAATGAAAGGACAAAAAGGAGAATCATAGCTTACCTATAATTTACAAGTAACAAACTGAACCCAATTGACGAGAGAAATGCTAAGGACTTTGAATAGCTTGACAATGAAACAAAGTGCGGGCCTCCATGGAGGATTACAATTAATGGGTCAAACGAATCATTTCTTTTAGTTTTGGAAGACACAAATATGGCTTCAATTGGTTTGGCAGCACCTGAAAGGTTTTAAGCATGTACAGGATGTTAAAATCAATTTTTTTTTTTTTACAAACAAAAAATAATTGGTTTATAATACCTTTTGTTACGCTACCAGAGACATCCCTGACAGGAACCTTCAGTATACTGAATTGCAGAGAGGAGAGCAAAGATTTAACCTATGGCAAGTTGAAACATGAGTTGAACAGATGTAAGCTTTGAAGATAATCTTGATATGTGGAAATATAGAAAAGCAGATTAATGGACCTTCTCAGAGCATTCACTTGGGGGGCTTGATACATTTAACCAACTCCATGCGGTACTTGTACTTTCTTTATCAACAAGGTAACCATAATTGATATGAGGTACATCTACTGGACTGCTAGACACTTCAGAAATCAAAGATAAAGCGAAATTTCGTTATTGATCAGTAAATTTTTCCTGAGTAATTATCAGTAAAAAATGGCAATTTCTTTACCAGCAATGATATTGTCCCCATCCAGTGTAAGAACATCCCATGAATTTGAATCAGCAGAGCTGATACGTGATACTTCCCCACTGTACTTCCATATAACTTTCATAGGTCAGTTATAAAAAGTTAAAAAGGTAACGACCCCATGGAGATACGAGTGTCATATGATTAGTCATTATAATTACCTCAAAACATTCACAGAAAGTATCACTTGACAGCTACCCCAGATAGAAGATATGATCATTGTGCATCCATCAGAAAGCCATGGATTACTAAGGATACTTGACCAGTAAAGCCCAGGGAAGCAACCATCCTCAGCACATAACAACAGGAATCTTCAAAAAGGAAGTGTATTAAGTGTTGTTATATAAGCAGGGAGAGGATAAAGAGAGAAAAAATCGTAAAAAATTTCCTAAACTTATATTATTATGTTGTGTGATATCACCTTCATGAAATGAAAACCTTTTGTTGAAGACAATTAACCTAGAGTTCAAGGGTTCGCTACCCATGCACAAAAGTACCGCACACCAGAATAAACAAAGGGAAGAAAACAGGTCAAAGGAAATTTCTATATATTGAATTTCATCCTCAGTGTGTATGAATACAACATCGAATTTACAAATCAACTACAAAAGATACCACTGGTATATAGTAGCAACTAGCAAATAGCAAAACAGCATCCAACCAAAACAAGTAAGCGAACCACGATCTTTAATCCTAACAGTTCTGGAATGCAAACCCATATGAGTTTACACCTTTACAAGGAAACGCTTAATGCTTACTTATAAGCACATGTTAACAAATGAACCTTTGTTCATAATTTACATGCACATGGACTCGAACAAAGAATTCCACAGAACTGAGTAGTTTAAATTATCAATCAGGAAATAAAAGTTGATTAGTAAACAGAAAGATAAAAGCCAGAGAGCTCACCACATCAACAATTTTTGCAGATGAGGATAGCACTCCATCCACTGGCCAGTCTATTCTGTGAAGAGAATCTGTTGCAGAATGTGCCCCAGAATCCACAGAACTTCTAGCCGATAAAAACAAAAGGAATTTTCCATCTGGGCTGCCAAAATTACGTTGATCATGTTTCAAATACAATCAGAATCAGTAATTGTAATGATGTTTGAAACAATCAACCATCTATTGGATAATGAAACAATCAGTACAATTCCAATTCAAATGTTCATCAAACTTCAATTAATATTAAGATATCAATTTCCGTTTTGCAATTAAAAGAGAGGCTATAAACGTCAAAAACTTATATCATAGACTAAATTTGAGTACTGCATGATGTTACAGACCCTGGTAAAGTGCACACGAACACATAACTAAGTGTCTGATGGGGGAAAAAGTTACCAGAACCGTGGATAGAAAGCACTACTTATGCTTTGAGTCAGCTTTACAGCAGGAAGATCTTCAGTTGAATTAGCTCTAGAACAGTGAGAGAAAGTAATAGTTATATCAAATGTAGAAGCACAATGAATTTCCAAAACAATTAACAAGCAGAAGATCCAAAAAAACAATAAGTAACAATAAGTATTGCACAAAGCAACTCACTTGAGTTCAGATCCATTTGCTTCTGATTCAAAATTTGGTGCCTTGACCACATACAATGCACAGGGCCTGTTAAAGCAGTACTTGATACCAAGCTTTCTGATACCTTCTGACCACCCAACAAAAACCAAAGATTGATGCGAGTCTTGAACTGGTGGCGCCCATACAACTTGACCAACACTCAAAGACTTTTCAATTCCTTTGACAGCTTGTGCCTCTCCGCTGTACAGCATAGGATAATTAAAGTTAGCCAGGCATTTAAACGAGAAATCTCCTTACTTCTAATCCTGGTATTAATAGAAACTAAACCAATTGTTAAAGACCTGTTAATATTGATGACAAAAAGTGCAGGCTGCCTTTTTCCAGCATAGGTTTCCCCCCATTCTTCCTTCCAATCCCCTTGACCTTTCCAGTTACCAAAGTCCTTATCCGTGGAACTACTTTTCTTGTAGCCCTGACCTGTAAATGTGGGCTTGGAGGGAGCTGGTTCCTCAGCAACATAAGCAACGAGAGTTTCATCAGCGTTCCAAGAAATTCCCTGAAACCTGTATCATTGAAAATTTGAACTCTTTTATGCTGGAGGAAATCTAGATATATGAAAAGATTAATGATCAAAACAGAGGCGTAATTCTACTACTATCACTAAAGGCATAAAGCACAAAACGTCTAGTACACAAGACTAGCATCAAATATCATGTATGACGATAATTGGAAAGACTGCATTCACGATGTTTACCATCCATCAGCATAAACTGAACCATGAACAGATTGGGGAATGTGGAATTCTTTCTCCAATTGACCTTGGCCCCAAATTTCAAATTGGCAGGGAGATTCGTTCAGGATTCCGAACCACAAAAAGCTTTGCACCGGACGGGGATGGAACAAATACAGATACTCCTGTCATCTCAACCGGGAACGGGGACCATTGGAAGTTTACAGAATTGTTACTTTCTCTTGAAATATGAGAGGATAGAATGAATTTCTTCCTCTTGTTTGCCAAAAGATTCGGTTGACTAATTGAAAACATTGCCTGAGACCCAATTCCTGAAACAAAGTTTAATGTGCATGTCCTCATTAGGAAAAATTCTTTGGCTTTCAATTAGAGAGGAAGTACATGTGTTTATATATTTCCTTACATATGTAATGCACGTATATATGAATCTGTTGCATGTATGTAAGGATAAGGACGTGCATGTTAGAAGAATGAGAAATTGTACCGCTATCAGATTTAAAAATCCATGCCTTGTCAATGCTGGAAATACTAGTGAAGTCTTGAAGTAACCTAGACTGTGATGCATATTCTTCCTCAGTTGTTGCATCTACCCCAAGAGGCATGTCCTTCACTGGACCATCTTTAGAACTGCCCATGGCTAAAAGCGTTGACAATCTTTTACTACAGAGTAGATTGCATGGAAGATATTGTCAATTTGTGATGTCAAAGGACAAATGAAATTATGCAGTAGCTCATTACTCAAATGGTCAGTAGCATTGGTCATAAAAAACAGCAAATCTCCTAGAAAGAAAAAGAAAAAATAAACTATATTTTCTTGTTTTTTCCTTTTAAATGAATGAGTTTTAGCATGTCATTCCTTCATCAATCGAATACAGCAGACGTATGATATATTCCAAACAATAGAAACAAGCAATCCGCAACCTCAAATTCTACTTAACATGAAAAATGATGCTACTTTTGATTATTTTGATCAACATCGATAACAGCTACCTGAAATTTCTGCAAGTCAATCTGCCACCTCAAATTCTACATAACTTGGAATTGGCATATAGTATACTCACACATTTGATACTACCACATAGCACCTGTAAGAATTTCGGCTACAGAAAGTCTTGAGGCCTCTTTCCAGTCAAGGAAATTGCTCAATTCAATTTACACTTGCAAAACCAAATTAATACCCATCGCCATGATCCAATCTAGTAAAAAGGTAGCCGCGAATTCGAGCACTGTGGACTAAAGTTGGAATCTTTTTAAGTTGTTCTATATGGCCATTCCATCAATCCAGATTAACATTAACAATCGCACACTAGTTCAAGAATTCAAACGAACATGTTATTCAATTCCATTCAAAGATTTCCACTCTACGCAACCAAAAATAAATGAATCAAAGCACCGAGCAAAGTGAGATGAAGAAAGAAAGGAAGAACTAACAGATACCCACCAAACAGTTTAGCACAAAAACTTGGATTCGACGACTAAAAGTCAACAGTGTAACTGTGTAAGTAAGGAGAGTACACAGGTATAGATAGGGGAGAGAGAGAGAGAGAGAGAGAGAGAGAGAGAGAGAGAGAGAGCGCCAACTTACATAGAGAGAAAATTGCGAAAGGGTCTGCGACTGCTCGTCCTCGGAGTGAGAAGGTGCGAAGGTGAGATTAAATAGAAAGAGGAGGAGGGAATCTTATACCCAGGACTTATTCCGTTCATTTCTGCCTTCTAACAAAAGTGATGCTCCACCTAAGGCCTACAATAAATAGAGTTTTTTATTATTTTATTATCAATAAATTATATATACTAAAACTCAGTTTGAAGTCACTGTTTATTAACAGTGATTTGACGAAATTGTCCCTCGTTTGCTACCTAATTCTCAGCCTTTTTCCTCTGTTATACAGTGAAATCATGTATTTACCCCCATTGTACGCATGTTGGTTATCGTGGAAGGAAATGAGGCTGGATGTACGCGTGTTAGCCATCTGGGAGGGGAAGCAAGTGTTGGGGATGGTGCAAGCATGTTCTTCTCTCTCTCAGATCTCTCGAGCTCTCTCAAATGTTTCAATAACTTTTCCATTTGCTTCCCTTTTATCTCAACCTGAAACCAACAAATCCCAAAAACCCTCGAGCCCTCCAACAAAATCGGAAAAAAACACCATCTTCGCCCAAAATTTTGAATTTTCTCAAGAATTCTCGCATTTTCCTGAGATTTTTTTCTATGGGCTTTGGTAGCAGATGAAGATCGATGACAGTGATCGGAGTTCGTCACATGACATTGTGGTAAGCTATTGAATCTAATTGGCGATTTTTTTTGTATGATTGTTTGTTATTGGGATTTGGGACGTTGGGAATAATTTGTTTGGTTTTTGTGTGGATGCAGCTCGGCAACGAACAATTTGATCACATCCTGAGTTTTCCGACTAATTTATTCAATTGGATCGGTTCTGATTTTGTCCCTCCATAGCATCTGCAGCACTATCTGCCTTGCTTTCGTCACAGCTTGGCTTTCGGTTCCTCAGGTAAAGTTTCCACCTTTTTTTCTTTAGGAAAATAACAAAAATTCCAAATTTATTGAATTATTTAGTGATTTTCTATTGAGTTTTTTCTTAAAACTTTTAATATAAATTTTTTGAATTGGAATAGGGGGAATGGTGGATGTGAGAGTTTCTTTTACAGCAGTTCAAAGGGAGAGCTTGAGAGATAGTGGACTCTTCCCCTATTCCTCCACAATCGCTTTTACCAATTTCCAAGAACACATTAAATTCCCTCAAAATATAAGCCGAGGTATGGAAAAGCTTCGAATTCCTTGGTTTCCTCCAATTAGTATGCAGAACTCTCAAAAAAGAAAGTAGTGAGGGTTGAATTTCTACTCTCATATATACACAGATAGATATGGAAAAGCTTAGAATGGTGAAGTGAGGGTTCAATGACTTATTACTCATTTTGGTCTATTTAAATAAAGTTCTCTGATTGGTTTGATTTGTGTTGTGTACATTTACTTCTTGGGTATATTTGTGTTTTTGGACTTATTTGTTTCTGTATCGGTTGCTGACATAATGGATAGGGTGCCAAAAAGAGAGGTGGCATTAGGAATAATGGCTTTTTTGAGAGAATTAGAGTTTGATCTCTTCATTTGGGTTGTGCATATTTCGTTTGATCTCTTACTTTGGGTTGTGCATATTTCATTTGAATTAATTTGGGTTGTGAGGAAGTGAATAATTATTTGAATTAATTAATTAATTTCTCTTGGGTTGTGCATATTTCCTTTGAACTAATTTGGGTTGTGTTTAAGCATTGTACATGCATGAACGTGGGTAAAGAGTATGAGGATAAAGGGAAGAGAAAATGTTGTGATCATCCACCTCAAACGATTTGTTGAGGTATTTTTTGTACCTTTTTTTTGTTTAAAATTACATGTTTTTCATATGTTAGGAGTATGTCATCGAGGAATGTTAGTGCCTCTTTATTCAATTTTTTCTTTATTTAAATATATATGTGTTTAGAAGTGTAAATTTGTATAATTGAATCTTTGCTCCAATTTTATATTTCATTTTTTGTGACTTTCTGCAGAACTTGGAATCAGCTTTTCACATAACATGGATGATGAATATAAGAAACTCATACACATAATTACTCCACCAAGGTATATACAAATTAAAATCATAACTTGCGTCAATATAGAAAAAATTATTTTTTAGCACACAAGTTTGACATAATAATTTTTCTCATAATTTATAAATTATTGTACAGATTTATGCTACCTGGCAATCAACGACTAATATTACTTTCAAGAAGGCAAGACCAACATATGACATGTCACATCGGCATATTTTTCACAAACAGATGGTAAAATTGTACACATCACTTAGACAAGTTTCAATCTTTTTTGCTTCCATTGTAACACATTTCTAATTAACATTTCGTACTAAATTTTGATTAAACTTTATTTAAATGTTTGATTTCAGAATTTCACAAGTCGAATTACCACCTTAATAATAGGAAAAAAATACATTTGATCTCCGGTTATAAGGTGACCTCACCTCTCTCTCTCTCTCTCTCTCTCTCTCTCCCTCCCTAAACTCAATTTTGAACTTTTTATGCATATTTTTTTTTGAATCATTGGCTGTCTTTATTATTTTTGTGGTTGTATTCACAATTGTCCAAGAGAGTACAACAAAAGGTCAATTTTTCCATTGGAAGCACCTCAAGTTAGGAACAAGTCTGTTATCCAATTACATTCATGGCATATAACACTTGAAAGGTCAATTTTCCATTGGAAGCACCTCAAGCTAGGAACAAGTCTGTTATCCAATTACATTCATGGCATATAACACTTGAAAAAGCTAATGATGTATTTCAACATTGTTTAGCATGTAGCAAGCTTTGTTTGACTGATATACTCAATACTGCATTTGTAATTTTATCATTGGTCCAACTTTTTGAATAAACAATTTCTCTTTCTTTGCACTTTGAAAAAATGGATTTTTATATTTTTTGTTAGTATCTAAATTTGTTCCGTTCATGATAAGGTTTAGCAAAATATCTCATATGATTTTCAATCCCGCAGCATCGCGCGGGTGCAAATTTCTAGTATATTACTATTCATTGAGAAGAAAATGAATAAAAAGAAAAGGCATTTTTTTTATTTCCATCCCAAACAATGTTGAATACACCCCACATTTATAATAACTCATAAGCCCTAATATGCACCGACAATTTTGACCTAATTAAATATACAAATGGAACACCACCGAAAAAAGGAAGACATGGCCGGCCACCACCGGTTAACACTACTCTATCTGGATGGGAATGAACAAAGCTTCCCATTTGGGGATTAAGGACATTTGACCATCTCGTATTGCGCTGAACCCCATAGGTGTTTGTCATAGCAATAGAAGCAAGGGCAAGTAGGATGGTGAAACAATCCATTATGTGGGTAAAGCCCATATGCATCAGGATTGTTTTCAACATAATGTTTAGAAAAGTATGGAAGCGACGGTTGCTCGTATTGCTAGGAAAGGGATGAGGAGCTCCACTGTGCATGTGGGACCCAAAAGGATCGCCATATCTAGGATAGTTGTTTGAAATAGCACATAACATTGTGGATTGTCTGTATAAAATATGGAGTTTATGTTGAGAGTGTAGTGTGTGAGGATATTATTGGAAGTAATGTGGGGAGTATTAAGATAAATTTTAATTGAAAAAATAAATATGAGGTGTATTAAATATGTGAGGTGTATTCAACAATAAATTGGGTGTTAATAAAACAACCCAAAGAAAATAAAATAGACTAAAAAATAAAAAATCTTTCAATTCTCAAATAAGAGAAGAATATAATAGATCATACTTTCATATAATATCTTAATTGAATCATATGAAACGATCAATAAATTCAGTTTCATTTGAGAGTTTGTGAGGACCAACTCTACCTCAATCATAGAATTTTATTAAGAGATGATTAGATTGGGCTGCTTAAATTTTACATTGTTTTGATTAATATATTTCTGCAAATTAAAATTCTACATATTGAATTCTGAATTTATCCTCCTCTATGGGAGTTTTTCTCTTTCTTTTTTCCTAGCATGGCCTTTTATTCAGGGATATTTATTTTAAGGATGACTTTGGATGCGATCCTTATTTATCAACGTTATTTGATTGAAACCTTGTTGGTTTTCGATTTTTGATTGAAATCCCTAAAATTAATGCAATAATGCATTTTCATGTAGGCTATTATAATATTTAAATTAAAATTTGATATTTGTGGTTATTTATATTAATGAGATTTTAAATAAAATTCATAATTTGTTGAAAATATTGAAAGAAATTATACTTAAATAAAACCCATGATTTGTCATTACTTATATTAATGACAATTTACATACAAAAAATTGGTAATTTTTATACGATGCATTTTACATACAAAAAGTTGGTATATTTTATACAACAAAAAGGTGATACGTTTTATATAATGGATAGATTTCATATATATATATAAAAAAAAAAAACAATGGGTACATTTTACACAAAAGAGATGGTACTTATGAAAAAAAAATGGGTACATTTTACATATAACAAAGTGGTACATTTTTAAAGACAAATGGGTGCATTATTAATAAATCATGGGTACAAATAAAAAGGTCAAAAAAATATGAGTACAAATAAAAGTTTGGAAAATATGGACACAAAAAGAAATTAATACATGGGTACAAACTAAAACTGAATAGAAAATTGGCACAATTAAAAAAATAAGAAAAAGGGTTGCAAATTAAATTGGGTACAAACTAAAAATAAAAATGCATAATACAAAGTTTAGCCATAAATATAAATATATCAAATGTAACGTTTCTAACACTAAATGAATAATTTAAAAATGAAATTTAATTATCTTGATATGTAAAATATTTTATTATTGAAATAATTAATGATGTTTATTAAAACCAATGGACCTTTGATTAAAATTTGAAAAGAAATAAGGTTTCAATCAATGGAGTTGAAAAAAAGAGGGATGAGAACTTAATTTCTTTTTTTTTTTAACTTATTAGTTATGTTTATTCAGATTCATTCTCACTTGTAAAATTTGGATGGGCTCTTCCATTTGAATTAGTGGTTGTTTTCATAAAATTTATTTTCTTCACATTTGAATAGTAATTCACTTTTGAGATATTTTAGGTTTCTTGTTGCTTGATGTTTTCCATGTTTTCTGTTTTTTTCCTTGTTCTCTAACCGATGCTTCTTATTTTGGGGCATGATGCTTGGTGAGCAACCCTAGTTTGGTATGGTTAAATGGTAGCACAACAAATGAGAGTGTCACCGGCCACATTAGCTAGTCAAACAGAAGTTTGGAGGAGGCAATATCTTCAAATATACCAAATAAGAACCACCTTGCCCAAGAGGCATGCTTCTACAAAGGACGGAGAACATATTTGGACAGTTTAAAACGTACCAAATCGAAAATATGTCTTACAATATTATTAATTTACGTACCAAATGACTGGTATGAATAAATTAACATTACATAATAAATGTACCAAAATATTGATACGTACACACCAACTACACAAAAAAAGGTACCAACCATTATTAATTATAATCAGTCACTCAACCAAGTTGATAAAACAAAGAATGATAATTCTATTTTCAAACTTGATCATGCCAAACGTACCCAACCAAAATAAGTTATACAAAATCACATGGAAACTAACCCAAAAATTTCTATTTAACTTTGACGGAGGCACAATACAAACTTCAATTGACATGATCCGTACGTTTAATTATACGTGGAATGTGTAGTTATTACCAAACTTTATTTGAAAGGATCGGTTTTGTTCAAAAACAAAAACAAAAATTGACAGGATCGATACTTTTAGTTATGCCTTCAAATGTACCAAAGCATTTGAGATAAAATGCACCCAAGAATCCAATTAATAAGAAATAGATACGGTAGAGGCTACCATTTAAAACGTTTGTTGGAAGGTATTTGGTATGTTACGTCTGTTGAAAGTTATTAAATACGTTTTAAATTTTTTATTGTTAATTTTTCAAAAGGGAAGTGTGAGTGGCACTCCAAAAATTTTATTCTATACTCCTCACAAGTGTATTTTTCTTTCCAAATCTAAAAGGTTTGGAGTGTAGAATGAGATTTATAGACTGCCAATAATAATTTCCTTTCGAAATAGGTACACTAACAGGGGTACACATTTTGAGTGTATCAAGCGGGTTTGTATATCATATTTAGCATGGGTACAATTGTTGTCATATGTTGCGTAAGCAAGCATTAACAATTCAAATTCAAAAGCCTTTGAGATAATACTTCCAGATTTCAAGGATAACAACAAAATAAAAAGGATAATGACAATTGTTAATGGAATTGAAATGCTAATTCAGAAGGAAAAGATCTGATGGAAAAAATGACTAAATTCTCAACGCTTGAAATAATGGCAGTGCTTATAAATTTTAGAAAAATGAAATCATTTTTTGTAATCTACTTGGCTCCTCATAGGGGAAGCAGTTCAATTTAAAACGCAAAACCTATAGATGTTTAATCAAACAAGTTGGGGGGGGGGGGAGGAGGGTGAGGCACTGATATCAAAAGCTCCCAATTGTAAATTTAGGAGGGAATGAGAACATATGATTTTTGTCATATATTATTGGTGGTGTGTAAAAGAAATAATGTAGCTCACCATGGTGCAGGTTACTGTTAAATAACTACTTAATTCGCTTAGTCCCTAACAACTGATAATAATAGCGAAAAACACTTTTAAAAAAAATCAAATTATAGAAAAAAATTTCTCGACTAATGTCAATAATAGTCGAGTGCAGCAATATATAGGTCCTAGGTTTTTCTCCTGAAAACAAGGCTATTAAAGGAGCCTATTTATGAAAACTCCGGCCTCATTTTGTGTATAGGGTTCACTCAAATTGGATAACTCGCTAGAATGTTGAATGAAGAAGTGGATACCCCCTTGCGTAGTTTTTCCAAGTGAAGGTAGAAGATGAATTAGTTGTGACGAAAACTTATCCCTCCAAATTCCCTCAAAATGATAGGATGAAATAGACAAGTTATTTTCATGACTAGTTCATCTTTTACCGGACAAAACATTCACTTCTTCATCCATTATTCATTAAATCCAGTGAATTATTCAATCCAAGCGAATCCTACCCATCAAACAAGGCACATTGTCCTATAATTCGTTTTATATTCCCCCTTCTCATCATGTGTGTTGCCAGCTATAAGTGTTTCATTTGGCTTTTGGAGTCAACATTGTACCATGACTTTTAAAACATACTATGTAGAATTAGTCAAACACTGGATGGATCATGGAAATGTTAGGTTCCAAACTTAATCATGTTTTGTACGAACATGAATCTGGTGCCTCGCCACTAAGATTTCTGCAGTGCGACCTCTCCCATACGGCAACCTATCTTGGCTTCTTTCGAAGTTCCTACCCGTCAAACATTAATTCATGACTTGAATTTTCTCACAGATATTTTTTCTTTCTCAGCCAGCAGAAGTTTCAAAGATATCCTTTTCCTATCACGCTATCACCCCTCTGTGTTCACAACTTTTACCACTTTCTAGGTCAAGTAATTAGTCAATCTCTAATGGAGTGTTCCCCCTTCAATAAGTTAGATAAATGGTTTATGGTTGGTCCAACTACTTGAGCACCTATGACATACGAGCACTGTCTGAACTCATTTATTCAGACAAACGTTCGTATGTCGGACCTACTCAGGTATTATACAGGCTTAGCTGCCCTCGTAGTTCAGTGTTACTATCACCTTAATTCTCTGATCACAAATCCAATCTTTTTATAACCACTTGATATGAAGAAAACAGGTGTATAGGATTATGGAGTGATGGCCCTGGCTAAGTGGCTTGACCCCATTAACCTTGTTGACTAGAAATATATATATATATATATATCTTAAATATATATGATTCTAGTCAAAAGATGCTTATATATTTT